AACGGGTTGACTAGAGTTGTATGCTCTTTTTAGATCTGCGACACAAACGGTACCTATGCCTTCAAGCACCGCTGCTCCAGGCGCATTACCAGTTGCTACCCAAGGAGTTGTACCTGCTGGTTCATATCCTACAGGATATGGCGGCTATGGCTACGGATACGACTATAATGCATATTGTAAATATGGCAGCTGTGTTTTCAGTGTCTACATTTTTCTTTTTATACAGCAGCCGCAGCAGCAGGACAGTATGCTGCAGGAGCACAGATTTCTTCGTCTCCCGTTTCCGGAAAGGCAGTTCCACCAAGTCGAGGCCGTGGTGCTAGTGCAAGAGCTGCACCATATTAAAACGTAAGCTCCGAGTTAAATATATTTTTTGAATTGAGGATGATCCCAAATGGTTATCAATCTGAAATGTAAACGTTTGGTTTTGAAAGCCAGATTTGCTTTTGTTTGTCAAATTTAATTTCCGTTATAAATATTTCTAATTCGACAACTTATTTTTTGCAGGTATCATCAAAAGGTCGAGTCGTTAATGATCTCTAACTACAAGAATTCAAGTAAATCATGATTAAGACCAATGCTCCAGGATATTAATTTCGTCGCGGCTATCGATTTTAATTATAAATAATTGTTGGCTCTTTGATAACGTGTTTTTAATGGAACTAATTTTTGTCGTATTTGTGCGGTTTGCAAAAGTTGTTTAATCTGACTTTGGTTAAGTTGCTTATCGTTATGAAATACTGGAAGTCATTAAAAATAATTGTTCTGCGTGTTATAAATGTTTGTAAGTCATTCATTGCTTGCGTCGTTAATACGTATACCATGATGCGTAGTTGAAAAATGATAAAGTGAAACAATAAAAGCAGTATTCGCCGTTACATTGCATATATTGACATTGAGGTAGACTTAATTTGTCTGACGAATTGCATGCAGTGATATGCAATTGGTTGTTTGTTTTGCTCGAAAATTTTCGAAAATATGTCCATTGCAAACCACCGCTCGTAAAAGATGAACATTTTTGAGAGCTCGAAGGCCGCTTTTGATTGAGTAGTATGCACACTGCAGAAAGTTTCTTTGTCGAATCTCTTACAGCAGATAATAAAAGTCAAAGAACCGCAAATGCTCGAAATTAAGTTCATTAGGTTATTCACTTAAAGCGTTCGACTAAACACTAAAAATGTGTTGCAGCAACCATAGTGGCTGTGTAAAGTTGTGTCGTAAGTTTCACCTTTCTTGCCGGGCGTTTGTGTCCAGTTATTGCAAATCGCCATTTATTTTGCGTTAAAGGGATGTAAATTTTGCCTGTGTTATGCAACTTATGAACAAAATTCGTCATCTTCAGTCACAACTAATCGTTCTGTCTGTGTTTTATATGTTAACCTCAGCATGTACATGCTTTCTCAGCTGCTTAAATACGAACGCATCAGCTATACTCTGAACGAGCGGAGTGCATAAGTGCTTTAATTTGGTTATTGCCTTATCGAGTGAAACCTGCTACAAAGAAGCGAAACGGGTAATTTGTATCCATGTGATGAGAACCATAGTATAGTAACCAGTTACGAAGTAGGCTAATTCTTTTAAACATGCACCGTAAGCTACGGCGATAATCTGTACGGAATTTTCGCGGTCACTTTAATCAGATTGCGTCTCCGTTATTTCAACACTGATTCACTACTGTTCCGCGTAAACCAGCAAACGCTACTGCTAAATGAATTTCTGGGTATACCCAACGTCAGTAGATTGACTTGTTAGTCTGCTTTGTTCGCATGCTTCAATTTTTCTGTACTTGCATTTCAATAGTTGTGGAAAGTTTCATCTGAGAGGTTCTAGAGTGAATAATCGTTTCCAGGCTATATAATCACAAACAGATGGTGGATTATGATATAAATACTTAAATATCGTTGATCTAGGTGGCTTATCTTGTAAACAACGATGTGTAAGTTAGCTGCCTCTGTGAATGCGTAAAAGGTAGGTTGGATTGAATTTGATGTATAGTGACATATATGCTGAAGTTTGAGCGTGAGCAGCATTCAGAAATAATCAATGATTTTTCGGTTTCCATCCTTGAAAAGTATGTTTTCAACGTACATCGTTTGTCCTGTATGTAAGCCGAAAACAGCTGCTGCAACAACGTGATTTTAGCATTAAAATTGTGATAGTGTTATGCTTTACGATATGTTCATACTGGTTTTAAACAGTTTTAATTTTACAGTGCCGTTCTAGTAGAGTGAACCACTTGCCATGCGTAGAGGTACTGATCATTATGAAATAGGGCAATGTTGACGCTGTCGTTACCCTCGAGTTAATTGTATCAATGGTTGTAGTGCATGCTGCGATGATTTCGTGCCTTGACAGTTGCTGGTGTGGTTGATATGTGCAGATGACAATGTCAGTCAGCCAGCAAATGATTCAATTTACTTATAATTATTAACCCTTATAATTCAGTGGTTTGTAGAATATACAAAGTGAATGAATACTCAGCTTTTGACTATGGTTGCACCAAGTTTGCGAAGATTTTCATTTTCCTGTCAGACCTGATGTAGTTCACCGCAACGTGTGAATGACGGTGGCCAGAACTGAGCATGTAAGTTTTGATCTCGTTTTCATGGGTGTAAAGCGCAGTAGGCGCTTTTCTAATACCACCCTGATCTGTATGCCTATTACAGCAGTTGTATTTAACATAATAGTACTGGGAGTAAGCAGCTGAACAGCTGTAACAAGTCGTTATTTGTTTAATTGCGGACAACGGTTTGTACCCAACTACACGTCATTTTCTAACTATTTACGATGTCATTCATTCTGTGTTATATGACTCCTCAATCTGGTGTCGTGGGTTGTCATTTCTTTAAAGTGCAGGCGTCAAAAATTGTTTTGTTGTAGACTTTAGAAATTATCGAATCGTAGTAGTTGACTAAGTCACGAAATTTCGTGATATAAAATTCTAAGATACCATGGGTTGCGCTTTGGGTATGAAAATCGTTGGGAAAGTGAAGAAAAACTTTCTTTGAGCTTTCGTCGTCTGCACTTTCTGTTTTCATCGATAGATATCAATTGATAGCGAGAGTTCATGAGTAAAGTGTCTGAAACAGCCGTATAGATGTGAACCTCACATATCATAGTGTTATGCAGCTGTCATTTCCAATACTCCAATTCAAATGCTATTGATGTTGCTACAGTAATAAATCCTACTATTCTGCCGCTGGTTATGATGGTACATTTAGCGGTACTGCTAAAAATTATTCTCTTACAAGCAACCGAGCACGTTGTACTAATCTTTTATGCGGCAGATTGCCTGATTGTTGGTCGATGCCCCTCTTTTCGAGAATTTATCAATGATTTTCTAAGCTGCATTTTGCATATGTTTCACAAGATGCGCCCATCTTAAAATTTTGCATTTTCATTTTTGGTTACTCTGCATCGTCAAAGAAGAGATTCCGCATCGACCGTATGTCCGTTTTTGCACGTGGCCCTAGCCACCAGTCCTTCATCAGTTCATTCATTCAGTTCTCACATATACAACAGTGATTATCGCAAGTACAACTTCTTTTCTTCAAGCAATCGAATCATCTCGTTTTGTCAGAGCATCTGATATTTTACAGTTGGTTTCTGTGTGTTAGTGAAAGAACCCGTTTGTGGTCCGTACGTACAGCTATGCCGATTGCCACAACATGTATCTTTGTGACGCCTATTATTTCTTTCCCTGTCAGGATTTTTAAGAACATTTGTGAAGGTTAAAGAAGCTAGGCTCCTCTTTAAGTTCTGACTGCAGTTAGCATTGTTCGAGAAAGTTGAAGTATTTTAATTGCGGTCCGTTTTAAGTTACGCTCTTTCCATGGCACACTGTTCGTTTCCGGGGTTTTATCTCGTTTTCTATCACCTTTATCTCGATGGATTCATTTGGGGACCTATTTTTGCTGCAATCGTGCATGCCTGTTGAGTAATGTAGCGAAGGCCTTCATCACTGCCGCCCAGTATCATTAGCATAGCTTAAGTCCGTAATTTACTTCTACTAACCAGATGGATGATTTTCGATGGAATTCTGCAATGTCAATCGAACTACTTCGTTTCGTAAATCGTAGATATTGCAAATCGTAGCTCGAATCTCACGTCAGACGTGGTTTTTGCCCAGATTAGATCACCGTTCGGTTGTAGATGAATTTTGACTAAAACTAGCTGTATGAAGTTGGCCTTGATTGAAGCAGCTTTGTTGATAGGTTAAAATGTAAGGAGATGCGATCGGCCTATCAAAATTGGATAGAGAGCTTAGGTGTCCCCCAGCGTCTTGCAGACTTAAGAGCGCATAAGTGTGCATCATAGGACAGTGAAAAAAAATTAAATTTCACCTGGAAATTTGCAGAACACAGACTGCAACAAATCAGGTTGAGGAATGACTTCAACGAGGTGTGAGCGCATTTTACTGCACCCTTTAGTCCAGCGCAACGTTGTTTCGGTCGCGTTGTTATGACAAAACCTACTGACAAGATACAGAGTGGCTGGAGTCTGAAATCAGAAGGTATGTAACAGACAGAAAGGTTGACTAGTGTTCTGTATTCTGAGTAATGCGACATCGGGGAAAGTCCTGCGTCTGTTGTTGGTAAATCAGTTTTGCATTATCGCATTTCAGC